TCAGTAGTAGATATGTTGTTGATGTACTTCACACATAAGTTTGCACTTAGTTGCTTACGTGTGCACTGAACTTGCTGAATGTTTGTCAGTTTGGTTCAGTCTATCTCGAGGAAGTGAAGTGAGATGAAGCGGCAGGTAGAGCCATCCCTTTACATTATGTGTCTCTGTGTACGTAAAGGTCATTGGTTTTAATGAGAGGAGTGCTGAGGTCAGAGGAGCCAGAGGGCTCCACCTCCCTGACAGGCCACATAACTCCAAACCCGCTGTTAGCATGTTAATCCATGCAAGAGCTCCATGAGCACTCCCTCCTTTGGCTTGGTCGGACCATCTCTCACTGTGACTAACTGGCTCCCTGCTCGGCCATCAGCCAGCCCCCATCTGACAGTCCCCTCCAATAATAATGGACAACAGAGGCAGCACTGCCTTGACAGTGGTCCTCCTGACAAATTAGGCTCACTGTACTCCCCACTCGGGCTCCACCTCTTGTTTCCCTCTTGTTGCTCGGCTGTTCTGGGCTCTGACAGGACAGGGGGCGGTGGGTGCGGTATGGCGTTGGTGGTCGAGTGTACTTTGGTACGAAGCGACCTCCTGTACGACACATGTTGCCTTTCTCCCTGACAAAACACTCAAAATCGATTGCGGTGCGTCTTCATAGAAGCGGGGCACAATGTGGGGCCTGAGCGTGCATTCTGAGCTGAGCTGAGCTGAGCTGAGCATTCTGGGCCAGAGAGAGAGACGGAGCACATAAACACACACACACACACACACACACATATACACACACACACACACACACACACACACACACACACACACACACACACAGTCATCCCAAACCAAATGCGAGAGGAGGAGAGAGAAGGATCCCACAGAGAGGATGATGCAACCGGAGTGAAATTTTTCGGCCGGAACGCATGCTGCATTAACGCAGACCTGCAGGACGAAAAACACACCCGTATGTCTTTCTTTCTTTGTTCAAAGCCACATTCGGCTTTACCCTCCTTTTTTTGTTGCAGACGGCAACCTGTAACATCTAATTGCCTGCAATAAAACACAGCATGAGTCTTTCATGTTTTTGGCATCATGACTTCCTGGCCTCACCAAACACGATAAGCCCAATGATCTGTTCTGAATCTGCCTCCCTCACACATTCAGGTAAAAAGGGCTGAATATCAAAAACCGAGGCGTTCAGAGAGAACCATAACTCCCTTTATGACCCGCACAGATTATAGCCCCCATCTGTAGCGTAAGCCATCTGCAGTATGGGTAAATTCAAACAAGATTACTACTGGTCATTACACTGGATCTCCACTTGTTTGATTTCAATCATATTAAACCTTAACAGATTATATAACAATTTTGTAAAGTATTGATATGAAATTATAAAAAGGTTTAGGAGGTAATCCAGGTTTTTTTCATACACTGAGTTAGTTGTGTTTTCTCTTCATGAAGATGACCTTTAAAAAGCGAGCAATCTAAACTAAAGACCTGTGGCATTTTGTTTACATCAGTTGGCAGGTCAAAATGGACAATTTGTCCAAACTTTAAATGAAGTTTGGAGTCGCTTGCTTCGACTTTGAGCAACTCTCCGGCTTTGTAACTACTTTACCTGTCTGCCCATGGCGAGAGCTGTTGCTAATGTATTTAGTTTGACCAAGGACAAATATATTACTCACATTAAATTACCCCTCGAATGAAAAAAAAAAAAAAACAGCAGTAAAACAAACTTGAGGATATTTGCATTGACTTAGAAAAAAAAAGATGTAGACAACAGCGGTTTGGCTAAGGAACACAATGCTGCCTAAAGATGTGACAGCAGTAAACAGTAGATAACACCTTCAGTGATTAAATGTCTTCCCCATATCATCACAGCTCAATTGCCCCACTGATTATTACATGAAATAAGGCTGATGAATAGTGCTAGCAATCATATCTACACCTACTCTTCTTGAATAGATCCCCACCTCCCATGCTGCATTGCCAGAGAGAAGAGAAAAGGGCTGGCTCTTTGTGCTCGCCGTGCCTCTCAGTCCCGTTGTGCTTGGTAGCAGCAGCAGCAGCAGCCGGTGACCATTATAAATGGCCTCTATTAGCATGGCTCGGTCGCAGAGGGGAGAGAAATAAAATCATTGGGAGAATGTAGGCCTGCACTGGTGTCCCTGTGCCCGCTACCAAGCTCTGCCGACCCCCGTCCCAAGCCTCCCTCCTCCCTGCTCCCTCCATTCCAAGGGGACACAATCCTAAAGACTAGATTACTAGTGATACATGGAGTCATTATGGAGAGGGTTATGGCAATAGTATCACAGGCACAGCTGACAATGGCTATAATAGGGGTCTCTTTCTTCAGAGGTAGCATTATCATAGCAAAGGCTGTTCTTTAGGCTTGTTGATGAACAGCAGAACAGGATGAGGGCCTTTTATTACCTGCCATAGCAGAAAAAAAGCCCTGCATTATCTAGCTGAAAACCGTGCTTATTTCTTTATTACAGTGCCATGTCTATTCGGGTAAAGTTAAATGAACACAACAGTATCCCCATATGAGGCATTACGACGTTAACGATGACAGTTACTAACTGTGTGCCATTTGAAAAAACAGAGGTGGTGGAAAAAAAACTGTAAGGGAAATGGCAGTCGATCATCTACAATCTCCGGTTCAAGCTGAGGCTTTGTGCTATCACAGCCATTACAGAACATGATGCACTGTCACTGAACAGGCAACATGTCAGGGTGTAAAGTGAAGACAAAAGGGGAAAGAGGGAAAGGAAAGAATGAAGGGGAGCGAGCAGAGTTAATGAAAGGAGAAGAGATGGAGGAGAAGAATGGAAGAGGAGTTTTCTGCTGGGCAGTTCTATAGACTTCACTCCACTGGAGCATTTCACACCTTAAAGGGTCATCATGCCCTCTCTCTGCTCTATGGCAGGACTCTGAAAAATGCAAAATGCCCTGGAGGAGCTGAGAGGGAAAGAGGAGAGCCACACCTTATACATAAAACTGAGGAAAAAGTCGAACAGTTTGAAATCCGGAAAAACACGACCAGAATAAATGTGTTTGAACGTAAAATTACCACCTAGATTAACAGCTAAGATGGATTTAACTGCTTTCATTACAAAAGTCGTTGAAAAACAGACGAGGATTTAATGATTTCTGTGCAAAATAGTTGTAAATTTGCTTTAAATGTGTTTATTGTTGTCAGAAACTCTTGTTGTGATTGCTTGCCCTACCTGATTCATGTTAGGCTGTGTAGCCTTCAATAAAACCAGCGTGACGGCAGCGTGCACAGTCAGTCACTTTGCCTGTTATTTGTGGGACATGCTGTCTTTTACTGCTAATTTGGGGAATCTTGTATGGAAACCTCAGAAAGGTGTTAGGGAGCTGTGGAGGAAACGTGGCCTTCAAACAGCTTGCAGTGAGCCAGTGAGCTGGTAAGCCAGGGAGTAGCTAGTGCCTCCAGCTAGTTAAAATATGAGCACAGCGGGGGCTCACTAATGAAAGCGGGGGCCCAGCCCGGGAAGCAGGGCCGTATATTGCAGTGAGGAGACAGTTCTTAGAATCAGCTGGCGAGCCGTGCCTATAGTTCTGGGGCCACTGGTGATTAACCGTCCAACAGGGAGTCGCTACTACAGCTGGGCTATTAATAAAAGATACCCCCCTTCTCCCCTCTCCCGCCTCTTTGGTTTCCTCCATGCCTGCAGACAGTCTCCGCCCTCTGGAATTATTTGTATATCATAATCATTTCCTGACACATGGTGGATGTCACACATTGTTTACATGGGACAGAGGGGGGGTTGCTCATAAGGGTGGTCCCAAAAAGCCATAGCTCCTTCCTAATGTACTTTGCTCCCCTGGGAGGCTTCCTGCAGGTGTATGAGATCAATTAGTGACCTCTCATTAGATGGTGATTTGCAGAGAATGACCCTTCCCTTGAGAGTAGAAAATAAAACACAGGGTTAAAGCACCATTATTCCTTTTGTAGCGAGGCCGCTCCTTTATATTACACCAAAAGGCCATTAAACGCAGCAAAAAGTTTATGATAATTCACTGTCATCAATACTGTAACAAAGAGATTGTGCTCAGTGGGAGATGTGGATAGAAGAGGAAAAGTTACATTTTTAGAAAAAAACAAAAACAAAACAGGAATAGATATTGAAGCTGCAGATGGTTTAAAAGTTTAAAAATCATTTGCTGTAATTTCTGTGCAATTTGCATTTGTGCTTTATTTTCTATTCATTACATTTTTTTTTGAAAAGCTGGAAGGCTGTGCAAAAGTACAATATGTTCATAGGCCTACTTCTTCTTCTAGTGCTGTTGCACACGTTCGCTCACACGTGCACGCGCGGCGGCCCGCCCCCCATCACACCCCCCCTTGCACTCACCAACCCCAACACACACACACACGCGCGCGCACACACACGCACGCTCACGCACGCCGAACGAGTTACAGGCAACAGAGTGTACTGTGCTGCGGGCAATCAAACACAAGCTCCCTGCTATTGCAACGTGAAAACGTGAGGTTAATGGCCTGGATTTAGCGCTGTGAATGAAAGCACGTTTACAACCGCCGGACTGGATGTGTGAATACTCCCCGTGCACAGAGAGGAGGAACACTGCTCCTCCTAATATCAGCCTACATAAATTCATGCAGTCGTGACTCCCGATTCGTGACACTCTCACGCTTGGATCTGTTTGCTCAATAAGGTAGAAAATGAAGCAGTGAATTTTTGAGATTCAGTCTAACAACAAAGCAAAAATATAAAAAATAAAAATAAGAATTGTGCCACAAATCCCGAAAAACAATAATGCAAAAAATAAAAAAATAAAAAAGTCAGTGGAGCTTCAGCACTATAGAAAAATCGCACAATTTGCACAACAAACCGACAAGCCCCCCAAAAAACATCCTGCATGATTTAGGATCCCCGCTCACACACCAACGTGTGACAGATTTCACTCTGACAAAAACAAGTCGAGCCATGGGTGTCTCGGGGAATCTGGGCATAACCCACCTTTGTGCATGCCCGTGAAGCGGTCTTTGAGCACAGTGAGCTCGTAGATCTTGCCGAACTCCTCGAACAGGGGCCGGAGGTCCTTCTCGTCCAGGTTGCGGGGGATCTGACCGATGAAGAGTTTGATGGCATCGTGGTCCTTCATGGGGATGGTGGCCGGGCATCCCGCCGGACTGTGGCTGTGGTTTAATCCGTTCACGAGCCCGTTCGTGCTGGCGGAGACCACACCGACACCGTGCACCGTGCCGTCCACCTGCCCGTTGGTTAAAGTTGCCATCTTCGGGAACCGGCCAGTGAGTTGGGATGGGTGCAACAGCAGCGGATGGTGATGGTGGAGGATCGGTTTCTTTTTCTTTTTGTTTCTTTTACGTGGAAAAAAAGCTGGTGGAAGTCTTGGTCAAAATTTGGTTCCGAGACCAAGCCGTGCCAGAGATGGTTCCGCTCTCGTCCTATCAAAGCCAGTATTTACAATGATTTGAAAACACATGTAGCATTTGGCGAAGACGCATATCAAAAGCGCGCAATGCCGTTGGTCCCGGTGGAGGCTTTGATTCCTTATATTTATGTCCTACCCAATAACTCGTTCATTGATTTCATAAAAGAGAGAGAGAGAGAGAGAGAGAAAGAGAGAAGGAAGGAGAAGGGGGAGGGAGAGAGAGAGAGAAAAGAGAGAGAGAGAGGGAGAGAGAGAGAGACCAAGAGCGTTCACTGTCTATTTACACCCACGTTCCTTCGTCCCAGCTTCTTGGCACCCTTTTATTTTTTTTGCATTGAGGAGTCGGTATGGGTGTCTTCTCGGTTTAAACGGACAGGGCCGGCTCAATCTCTGCCACAACAGTGGGGAGGTCTGAATAAGAGGGGCCACTTTAAACTCGGTACGTTCAAACCCAGCGTTTTCTGTCCTCCCCCCCCTTTGCCTATCCGAGGAGCCAGTGGTACATTCCACCGAGGGGAGAGGGTCTATAAATAGAGAGATATAGAGAATACGGTCCTTTGTGCTCCTACTCAGAGCATTAACTGCACATTCACGAAATCGAGAATGTAAAACTTTGACACTGTTATTAATCGCAAAAAAAAAGAGAAGAAGCTGCAAACGATGTGAAACAACAATCTGAAGGTTTAGACTGTTGTTAGGAAGAAAAAAAATAAACATGCACCATAGTTGGAATGTGATTGTAGAAAGGTGGCTGCGGTTCTCCGGAGGTTTGATTTTGTGTTTAAATCACATTTCATATTCCTCAGCATCATCATCATCATCCTCCAGCAGCAGCAGCAGCAGCACAGAGTCGCAGCATCCTCGCTCCGCTCGTGGACCTCGGACAGCTCCGTGGTGCTGAAACGCAGCTCCCGCAGGCGAAACTAAAACGACATATTGATGGAGGATTCCGCTGACTGTTCGTCGTTATTAAGAGCAAACACTGGCTTTCTTTTTTTTTTTTGCAACCAGTTAGAGGACGGTATTATTAGCTTCGGCTGCCATTTCCAAAGTCATGTGGAATAGATGATTTGATTTTGCAGAAAGGGGAAGTCTGTGAGCACCGCCGAGTGGCGTAGAGAGGGGGCACATGGAAGGAAAAGAGAGAAAAAAAAATCTACACGAGTGAGGGACAAACTGACAGGACGCACACAAATCCACATTCAGCAAGATTATCAACGAGATTGTCAGAAAGGAAAAAATGTATAATGAAAAAGGTGAAGTTTTCAGTAAATTGTGATGCTTCACACTTTGAAAAAGTAATTACACTATAATTACAGTGCAAAGAAAAGCTGGTTCTCATTCAAAGGTTGGGTAATGATTTGAACGGACATCCAATATTCATTCCTCGTTCAAATAATTTCAGACCCACTAGGCCTATAGACAGTTATTAAATCAAATCAGACTGGCTCTCCTGATTACCTTAGCAGTCCTTAATTCATGGAAATCTAAGTCTAAGTGAGTTATGTGGATATATATCCGCGAATTAGAAGCATATTTATGCGAGTAATGCAAATAAACTGAGTGTTCTTGATTAGATAGGTTGAAAAATGAAAGAAGTTTTTGCTTTTTTAACCATTATGCCCCAGGACAGAGTGATCTTTATCATATGAGTCCAGTGGTAACAAACAGGGGTCTGTTTGCCCCTCATCTGTGAGGTTACGCAGCTCCGAATAGAGTGACCTGGAAAAAGGTGCAAATGCACTGACAGCAGATTTGAACAGTCCCTGTCAAAATCGGTACGATTTGCAGTGACAGAAAAAGAATACTGAACACGAGAGCAGATGTTTCAGATTCAATTCTTGCTGCCTCTTGCAATTGACGGGACTTCTCGGTTAAGATCATTGGCAAATTTGTGGTTTACTCCTTTGGGAGTCGGTTCGTGTTGTTTAATCTCTATTCCCAAAGGAGAGCAACAACACCCGGGGTCGTGGCGATGTGTGAATGAAAAGAGTGCTGCTTATGCTGATGAATGCCGTTTAAACGATCAACAAACCAGCTGGTTAACAATGAATAACCAACAGTTGAGTTAGAATATCTTTTGAGGTTGTGTCTCACCACTGCACCCTTTTACGCACAAAACTGGACCCCTGGGGGACCCACCATGTGCGCAGCCCTTTACTTCTCCTATTAATTCATGATCTGCTACGAGTTAATGTAGTTTTCGTTTTTGGATATGAGCCCCCCCTTTAACCCCACACACCCATACAGACATTATCTAAGCGTTAAATAACAAAAGAGTCTCTCTCGGCGACACTGCGCCTCTCTCCCCACTTTCTGCTCCTCCGCCAGCTAAATGGCCCGGTAATGTCATCCCGTTCTCACGGCATGACCGAGCCCCAGCGGTGTGGGTGGGTTGGTGGAGGTGGTGGTGGGTGGGGGAGGACGGGGCTTGGCTTTCTTTGGCATGACACCGTGCTCTGCTCTCCAAGCTTTCCCCGGGGGCCACACTCCATTCACCGCAGCGGTCCTGTCTGCGCTCACGCCTGACTTACCTGCAGCAATATTTTTTAATACAAGGGGTGAAATGGGAGGGCACAAATCATTGTAATTATGTTCACCGGGTACTGCCGTGATGATTATGTAAGGTATGGCGCGTCACACAGCCTACCTGTGAGGTAGTGGAGTGGCCTCGGTGGCTGAGCCCATCGCACTGATCATAATAACACGCAATTAACGAGCAAGACGTGTAACAGTGTGTCTTTTCCGCTCCCCAAATGGTACTTATATCAATCCGTTTGGGTATACTCAAATATGACTGTGGCTCTTGCAAATCATTTGCGCCCACTGCACAGGCGTGCTGAGAGCAATACTCAAAGCACCCAGTCTGTCAAACAATTTTCATATTTATTCTCTGTTACTCTATACACCCCCCACCCTTTCCCTCCAAAGAAAGAAAGAAAAAAAAATCAGTTTGATGCAATCAAATGATTTCATTTCTACAAATATAAACAATAATCCAGTTTCCAAAGCTTCTTAGTGAAATAAATCAAGGCTGATCTTGGAATGTTAATATTTACAGCCTCCTAGTCACTGCATTGCAATTGTTAAACAGCATTGACAAAAGGTTTTTAAACAGTAAAGCCTCTGTCCATGGTGCTGAAAGTAATGTAGGCCAATGGTAGCAAACGTATGCCTCTATCCGTGGTGCTGAATTTAATACAGTGCAATACTGACAAGTGTTGCTCTTTTACAAGACAAGAAGCCCCTGTAAATTGTCAGTGACAACGCTTAAGGCCCATAAGAAGGCTCTATGAACAAGGTGAAGATGACCATACGTGAACTCCCTATTTTCCTTAAAATATTCTCCTGAGCTCATCAAAAAGGGGTCACTTCACCCTCCCCGCCCCCCCAAATGAACCTTTGCAATCATGCAGCAGAAGAAGCCTATTTTCCCTTGGAATATTGCTCCCTTGCTCGTCATGGCTTCAATTTTCAGTTTCAGCACTGTAAACGGTTGCAGCAAGGCAAATAAATGAAAAGGGAAATGAAATTCTGGGTAGCCAAGTTACACAAATAGATTGATAATCTGCATGGGGCACCATAAAGTGCTCTGGCGTTTTCAATATTACCTATTCTGCATAGTAATGTCTTTTCTCACCTCTCCTTCATATGGGACAAAGTTCTAAATCTCCTTTAGCCTTGGGACACCCAGGCTGTATATCACCTCCCAGTAATTTAGGAGGAAGAGCACAAAGGAATGAGGAAATGGCAGGCGCATGACTAAATGCTCAGAAAGTTTAGAGGGACAAGAAGGGCAGGGAGGTCCTCTTTAACTTGATTAGCACCAATTTGTTAGAGATAGGAAGGGATGTGCCAAGAACAGAATTACAGCAGTAATTTAAAGTGTGTGAAAAAATTGCAGCGTGTACTCAGCATAGACTGTCTCTGTGTGGTATGGTGATTGTTTTTATCTATGTAATATATGCAAAGATTCCCATTTAGTTTACAGATATAGCTACGTGTTTAAGGCAGTAATAAGGAGGAACACACAAATATGCAGAAACCCATACGAATATCGCTGGTAATTGGGAGATGGACTATTTATTAATGTCCTGAGGAAAAATGTGTTTTGTTGGGTCATGTGTGGAATGAACAGTCTTACAGTGGAAGTTTGTTGACACTGGGAGGAGAGGCGGTGTATTATCCTCCCCTGGGCAAAAACAAACAAAGCCACACATGCATTCAATAACACATTAAACCATTAAGATTATTTGTAAAATAGCCTTGTAGCAGATCTATGGACTAAGCATGTCTTAAAACCTCTGTTTAGTTTTATACACACAGCAATACGGTAGGAAATTTGTCGGCTTGATAAATATTAGCGCACGCGTGTAGGTCCACGCATATTTAACACTAAATTTAAGTGTGCAAAGCATCCCACTCCATTCACCGCTGGCAATAAAAATAACCTTACAGTCATACAAACCAAGTTCATCTGGGTTTACATAGCGCTACAGTGCATGATATCAACAGTCATGCAATCCCCATTTCTCTGTAAGAACTGAAAAACTGCTGCATGTGCTTGCCAAAAATCCTAAAATGAACATACAGCTGAGCACAAAACAGTAATGACATGATGCTATGGATTTTATTAACATAAAGCCTGTAGATTTGTGAATCGCAGAGTCTCCTGGGAATCTCATTCGGTGAAGCAATGAGGTGTGTCTGTCTCTTGCCCCTGCAGTTATACCTGGCCTGCATTGGAAAGAGATTAGTGCTGTGACATTTGACATGGGTAGGCGTCTCTGCTTGTGCCGAGTGCCGGCTGCACAGATCAGCCATGCCGACAGCTCCTCTCC